TACGCGGGGCGGGGGCTTGGGGAATGGCGGCTTTGGTCGTGGAGGTGGCGGCTTTTGTGCAGTGGTAGGCTGGGAAGCTCCTGCAGCATTCCAGCAACCATGTGCAAGCCATCCTCACGAGAGCCCACTGCTCGCGAGCCTCCTTCAGGTGCCACCCATGTGCATGCGTGCAGTGGAACAACGGCCAGCCCATGCAGCTAGCGGTGCCGTGATTTGCACAGCATGCATGGCGTTTATTCTGTGCAGGCGCTCCTCACCTAGGCACGCCAAGAGTATCAAGTACAGCGCTGCAGCAGACCTGGCTGGCATGCCGGGCAACGGGTGGCTGCAGCCGGCAGCCGGTTGGCGGCGGCGGCGGCGGCGGCGGCGGCAGTGGCGGTGTCCTGGAGGGAGCGCGCAGCCCAATTTGGCTACTCGCAGCTCCCTCAGCAAGCAAAGCGCTGAGGGAAAAGAGCCGCCGCGGGCCCCGCACAGAAGGTGCTGGCACCAGTTCCAGGCCCCAATGGCAGCGCAGCGGACAGGAGCGCTGCCAGAGACCGGGGCGGAGCCCAAAAACCCGCGGCCTGATGTTACTTCAAAGCGAGTCGGATGGCGGCGGCTGCTGGGATAGCTACCACCCATGTTGTGTGGCCCCACTGTCACCGAGCGAGGGCACGGTACTGGCCACCTCCCCTCTTGCCCTTGTCGCTCAGACATCCTGGCCGGCTTTTCAGTGTGGGGCCACTCACTGACAAAACTCAGTGCAAAAGTGAAAGGGGACGCAGAGGTGCAGGCGGGACCAAAAGGCACGACACGTACATGCGACGGCGGTGCGCAGGCCGCCAGCCGGGGTTGCCAACTGAGGCCTATCCGCCTCACACCACCTTGGTCTTGGTTTTGCCCTTCACCGCCAGCTTCACCATCGTGGCGAACCAGTAGTAGTTCAGCAGGTTGAGGGCGATGCTCATCACCCTGCAGAAGCAGCAAGCATGCATGCATCGGTGTGCATGAAAGATGAGCACACACGACGCAAAGGGGCGATAGCAGGGCGCAGCGCAGGCAGCACCGGGGCCCGGGGTCGACACCGCTGCATGCGCTGCATGATGACCGAAACGAGCCACACGCGGACGCACCTGACGACCCAGATGGCAGCCGGCGGCAGCGCCGGGGACGCCGCCAGCAGCTGCCCGGCGCTGTCCCGCCAAAACTCCACCGTCATGACTGCACGCCAGGGGCGGCGCAGCAGCGGTGGCGGGGAACCAGTGAGGGGGCGCGGGGGAGGCATATGGGAAGGGTGCCAGCAGGTGCGAGCCGAGCAGGGCTGGGCAGCGTCGCGACGGCGGCGGCTGTGTGTGGCTGGAGGTGGTGCGGCTCCGGGCAACAGGCCCCAGCCGCCTCTGCCCGGCTAGCGCTGGGCTGGGCTGGGCCGGCCCTGAGCTGCGGCTGGCGGTTACACTCACTGGGGCCCCAGACGACGCGGCAGCCGAAGAAGGCCAGCATGAAGGCCGCGTTGACCAGCGGCATTGCAGCGCTGCTGCCCAGCCCCGCCTTGAGCATCAGCCACCGCGTGTACATGGCCGGCGTGCTGAGCTCCCACATGAGAAACGCGGCGCCTGCACGCGGGCGACGGCGGGGCAAGGCAGGCGGAGGTTGGCGCGGCCGCCACGCGCGGCTGCCGGCTGCTGCCGGGCTGCCCAGGCAGCGCCGGGCAGGGGCGAGCCCGATCCGTGTGGCACCACCGCCAGCACGCGCACCGTAGTAGTGCATGACGCCCCGCATGGCGGCGATGGTGTACACGCAGGAGCAGACCACGGCATGCAGCAGGAACTCAAAGCCGTTGTCTGCAGGGGCAGCGCGCAGGCGCGGGCGAGCAGGCAGTTGGTCCCAGCCGTCGATCAACGCCCCGGGGGGGTGGGACGGGCCCAGTCACAGGCGATGGCGCGACGAGGTGCGTTGGGCGCCGCGCTGCAGGCCGGCGCCCGCCCGGCGCCCGCCTCCGCGGCCCGCTGTGTGCGTGCTGCGCGTGTTCTCACCGCTGTACTTCAGCATGCACAGCACGATGTCGTAGAGGAAGTAGCCTGAGGCCACCTCCACCATGCGCTGGGAGGTGGGGCTGGTGCCCACAAACGGCGCGGCGCGCAGCGCGGGCTCGCCCAGCAGCACGGCAAAGGCGAGCGGGAAGATGGCGGACAGGAACACCATGCCCACCAGCTTGGCCGCCAGCTGCAGGGGGCCCAGACAGAGGGCAGCGCAGCTTTGACTACACCATGGTGTGCCCTATGGAACGAGGCGCCGCCTCGCTAGGGCAGTCGCATGGCCAAGACGCACCTGGGATAGGAAGCGGCGGGCCTCCTTCGTGCCCGGCGGGCCCTGCCGGAATAGACGCAGCAGCAGGCCCTTTTGCGGTCCGTGGCTGATGATCACATCCAGCAGCACCATGCCCAGGGCTGCAAGAGGCAGGGGAGGTGCCCTCGGTGCGTTGGCGGCAGGGTTTGGCGGCCGGCGGCAAGGTGGTAGCTGCACGCAGGAGTGGTGCTGCTATGAGTTGCGCATCGCTGGACAACCCACTGCTGCCGCTTACCAAAGGCACCAGCACGCTCCACCGGCGCATCGAGGTGGGTGTGCAGGCCCGCCCGCTCCAGCAGCTGGATGATTGTGTATAGCAGCTGATGCAGCATGCTCAAACGCCGCCCACCGCGACCGCGGTGATGTTGCGGAGCACAGTTTCAAAGATAATCAGACTGTGCTGTGAAACCCCAGTGAGCGGGTAGAAAACGTTGACCAGGAGGCGATCGCTGCCTTGTTTGTCCCTCGCATTGAATGGCAGCAGATACTCCGCTTGTAGGCCAAAGCTCCCGGGCTCAGTGGGCAGCTGATCAACCCGTCACATGATCTGCGACACTGTGTCCTGAAACGACTTGCTCCTATAAATAAGCTCTGTAAATGACTCCCGAGCAGCAGAAGGCGGCGGGCAATGACGCCTTCCGTCGGAGGGTGAGCGCCTATGCCGCCGCCACCCAGTGCCACCCTGCTCGCTGGGCTTCCCGACACACCCGACCTACCAACCACCCCCTGCCTTCAGGAGTACAACCATGCTGCGCAGCACTACACGGCTGCGCTTGAGCACCTGGATGCAGCAGCAGGGCCTCCCGGCATGCTGCAGGCTGGCTCCGAGGCGCTGCGGGTGATGTTGCTGTCCAACCGCTCGCTGGCGCTCTTCCGGCTGGGCGACTATGCGGCAGCCACCGAGGATGCCCAGGCAGTTCTGGAACTGCAGCCCGGGCTCAGCAAGGCTGCCTTTAGGGCTGCCGCGGGGCAGCTGGCGCTTGGGGATGCGGCGTCGGCGGTGCACCGCCTGCGGGCGATGCGCTGCGAGGCCGGGGCCAAACCTGCCGACATGGCAGCAGGCTGGGTGGCTCTGGAGGTGCACGCAGCCGCCCGGTTGGCGCACGAGGAGCGCCGATCCGCCAGCTCTGGCTCGAGCGAGAAGCAGCAGCAGCAGCTGCAGGTGCTGGCGTGTCAGGTGGCAGCAGAGCTGGCAGCCGAGGCAGATGGCGAGGCAGGGGCGGATGCCGACCCGGTGGAGCTGCTGCAGCAGCTGACCAGCCTGCTCGGCAGCGGCGCAGACCAGGACGCAGCTGCCGAGGCGGCGGCGGCCCTGGAGGACCCCGGGCGCCAGTGCTACCAGCTGCTGCTCTTCCACCTGGCCGGCCCCAGCTCCAGCTGCGTGCGGGCGGCCGCCGCCGCGCTGCAAGCAGCCGCCGTGGCAGCCGGCGCCGGCAGCCCGGCGGTGCTGTGGCCCACCACAGTGTGGCTGCGGCTCACTGCCATGGCTGTGGACTGCTGCTCCGGTGACAGCGCAGCTGCCGCCATGCAGCTGCTGGGGTGGGCTGCGGCTCGGGATGCATGGGTGCGGCAGCACGTGTTGCTCCACCTGCTGCCCGGCTCGCCAGCAGGCCCTGCTCAGGAAAGCCCTGTGGAGCGGATCCTGGGCCTGCTGGAAGACACCGGCAGGCTGCACAAGGCGGCGCCAGATGCGGTGGTGGCGGCTGCGCTGCTGCTGCAGCAGTACGCCAGCGATGTGGCCAGCACAGAGGTGGTGCTGCACTGCCGGCCGCTGCTGCCCCTGCTGCGGGCGGCTGCGGCAGCTCCGGGGATGGCGGCTTTCCAGCCGCAGGGCAGTGAAGGCGGCGAAGCTTGCGAGGAGGATGGTCCTGGCGCAGACGGCGGCAGCGCAGAGCTAGACGGCACTGCCAGCCTCAGCATGGAAGACATGGAGCAGCATGCTCTCCAGCAGCTGCGCCGGAAGCTGCAGCATGTCTTCATCCCGGAGCTTGTGGCTGTTCGGTCGTGCCTGCTGGGAGCGGCCAGCGCCCTGGCGGGATCCAGCCGGCACCTGGTGCTGGCAGAGGCGGTGGAGGAGAAGGCGGCCGGCAGCAGCGCTGATGGAAAGAAGACGGTGGTACCTGGCGCCTTTGTCACGGGTAAGGTGCCGAGCTGTGAGAGAGCAGCAGCAGTGTGCTGTGGACCCCCGCACGCTGCAACGTTGATGGTTTAGAAGCAGCTGCTCCCGCGCTTGCCCTCCCTCCCCTTGCAGAGCTGCTGGCCTTTGTGCGAGAGCTGCACGAGCAGCAGCCGCAGCGCACCGCGCCAGTGCTGGGGCAGGATGGCGCCCCCGAGGCCTACATCAAGCGCCGCTTTGCAGCCGACTTCAAAGACAACCCGGCAGGTGATCGCTTGGACTCTTTTTTAGTTTGCGACAGAGTGCGGCATTGAACTGCACGCTGTGCATGCTGCACCGGCTGTCGCGCTGCGCCGGCTGCCCTAAAGTGCGGCGACATTGCGCCACTCAGGCTGCCCACATGCCTGCACAATGTGCACCACTCGGGCTGCCCACATGGTCACACACTGTGCATCCTCGCTCCTTGCAGGCGACTATCTGCTCTCGCTAGATCTCCAGGATGGCGCCACCCAGCGGCCAGCGCAGCAGGCAGCGCCGGCGGGCACGACGCAGCTGGAGCTGGCGCTGGCCCTGCTGCTTCACACGGCTGCCGCTGGCAGCAGCGCCGCGGCCCTGCTGTACCGCAGCGATCTGTTTGCTCTGTGCAGTGAGCTGTGCGCCTACTGCACCGAGTCGGTCGTGGTGGCAGCACAGCAGCTGTATGCGGCAGTCGCCGACAGGGTGGTGGCGGCTGCCGAGGAGCTGCTCCAGGGCAGCGAGGTGCCAGCCCTGGCGGCGATCTTCCTGCACAGCAGCAGCCACGAGCACCGGGTCCGGGCGCTGGGCAGGCTGGCGTCAGCCTCCGCGACCTGCAGCGGTGGCGAGTTTGCGCTGCTGACGGGAGTGGCAGGCCCCCAGTCGGCGGAGGCGCCTGCATGGGCCAGGGGCAGTACAGTGTACCGGGCCTGGCAGCTGGCACAAGCCAGTGGACAGGAGCAGGGGGCACCCGCGTCAGGCAGCAGCCAGGACTTGCAGCAAGCGACCCGCAGGCTGGTTCTGCGCTGCTGCGAGCGGGCCCAGCAGCAGCAGCAGCTGCCGCCGCTCACACCGCCCGGGGGCGGCGCCTGGGCGGCAATCGGGAAGAAGGAGATGAAGCACATGCTTTGGGAGCACCACCACAACCAGCAGACAGGGGTCAGCGTAGCCGCCAGCCAGCAGGCACAGCAGGAGGTGAACGGTGCGTTTGTGGAGCTCAGGAGGGGCTTCCTGGGAAAGCCGCCGCTGCCACCTAGGCAAGTCCAGCCAGCCGCCCGACCCGGCATGCAGCGGCAGTCGGCTGTGCAGGCTGCACCCAGCAGCACGGATGGCAGCCCTGGGGGCAGCGGCGGCGCGGCTGGCGTTACCGCTGGCGTGAGAGAGGTGGCAGCGCGCAGCTACAAGAGCGGTTCTGTGCTCATTGAAGAGCTGCCATTCGATCCAGCAGCAGATTCCGCGCCCGCCTCCAAACCCGCGCCCGCCCCTCCGCTGCCGCCCCAGGCGACGCCCCCGGGGGCCGCCTGCAGCCCGGACGCTTCGGAGGAGAGAGTATGGCAGGGCAGCCTGCCTACTGAGGAGGAGGAGGAGGAGGAGGTGCCGGATCTGCATGATGTGTTCGACAGCAGCCGACTGGCGGGGGAGCAGCGGCGGGTGCGTGCCGAGTGGATGGCGGCGCCGCTGGCCAAGAAAGTCAGGTAAGCATAGCACGCTAGCCTAGCCGCCCCTGCCGATCGATGCCCATGAGATGCTGGCTGCCGAGGGAGGGGCAGCTGTTTATGCACTCGCTCGCCACACGCCCAAGGGTGTGGGGGTGTGGCATGTCACTGCCGGTACTGCTGGTACTGCAGGTGGACCCAGACCAGCCTGGACGTCAGCGTGTTCGTCACGCTGCCAGCTGGCACCCGGGCGTCAGAGGTGCAGGTGCGCAGCCGCGGCCGGCGGGCGTGCGGCGCGACTGCTGCGAGCCGACGCGGAGGCGGCTGCGATGCACACAGCCTGCCGCGGCGGCCCCCTGCCTGCCTGCCTGCAGGTGACAGCGGAGAGCGGCCGCCTGATGGTCGGCCTGGGGTGGTATGGGCGGGTGCTGGATGGCGCCCTGCATGGCTCGGTGAAGACCAAAGAGTTGCACTGGTGCCTGGAGGACCAGGAGGTGAGGAGGCACCACCAGGCCCTGGCTGCGCCGCCTGCGCCAGGCGCCTGCCAGCCTGCTCGGACTCGCACCGCTGGCACGCCCGCAGCCGCTGGCTGTTGTCCACGGCCCTGCTGAGTGCCCGCCCCATGCCTGGCGGCAGGTGCACGTGATGCTGGTCAAGGCGCGGCAGAGCTGGTGGAAGGCGCTGTTTGAGGGCGGTCAGGAGAAAAGCTACCGCGAGCTGCTGCACGAAGCGGTGAACGCAGGTGGGGCGCCGGCGGGCCTAGGCCCCTGCCTGCCCCTGGCAGCCATGGCATGGCAGATTGTGCATGAGTGCCAACGCCGACACCGTGCTAAGCTTTCCAGGCAGCTGCCGCATCATGCCGACCCTCTGCTCCGCGCCACGCCGCTGCAGACGAGCCGGTGCCGCCATACGACGAGCTCAGCGACTCGGCCAAGGGCATCATCGCATCCATCCAGCAGCGGCAGGCCTACATCCAAGCAGGTGCTTGCGGTGGTTGGGCACTGCCCGGGGCGTAGGCCGCATTCCGTCGCCGGGCTGGGGTGCGGGCGCGCCCTTGCCGACCCGCTACGCCGTGCATCCAGCCCGGTTGCTGCAGTCCCACTGTTGGCTGAAAATGTGCATCCGGCTCTTGGTGCAGGCCTCATGGATCCCAACGCGCCCGACGACTTCCGCATCGTGCTGGGAGAGAGCAGCCTGGGGCAGAGCGGCGGCGCGGGCGCGGGAGGGCAGCCGCAGCGCTGAGCTAGTGCTGCGCAGGTTGCTGCTGAATGTTGTCTCTTAATATTTCACCATGGCTTCTCTGAAATTCCGTGAGCGCAAACCTCAGCTCGCGGTCAGAGCGCCGGCGCCCTCGCCAGGTGGCTCCTGACAAACGCGTGGCCTTGTGCCTTGAGGAATGGAGCTCCTCATTTGTCCACTCTTGCTCCGAAGCAATCGTATGTAATCTCAGGCAGCCCCCGAGGCGGCGCCTCGCTCCACCTCGATGACCGCCTGGTGGGCCTTGGCCCTCGTTTTGGCCGCCTGTGAGTCCTCCGACTCCATGGTTTCTCGAACGCTGAGTTCGCGAGCGGGCAGCGCCTGATCCAGGCCATCTACCACCGCCCCGACCTCCGCCACCATCTGCTGCCGCCGTGCCGCTCCACCCTGCCTTTGCAGGCTGCGGCGCCAGGGCGCGGTATGTGCCCTCGTACGTAGTGCCCCTCCTCTTTATTCAGCAGCGGCTAGTGATGCAAGTCCAAGTGGGCAGCCCGCCCCTGACGCTCACCTGCATCGCCGACACAGGCTCCGGATGTGAGCCTGCCCCGTGCCCAGCCCAGTCACGCTTGGCCCTCCTCGCTCGCTTCCCCAACCACCGGCCCCACCCCTGTGCTGCAGATATCACGGTGCCCACGCCCCAGGACTGCCCAGGAGCCTCCCAGGCGCTTTATTCGCCCGCCGCCTCAACCACCGCCGACGCTGGAGCGTTTCCTGCCAAGAACCCGTGGGATGCCCAGGGCCCACCCGAGCCTGCTAGCCCCTGCCAGACAGCCGACCTGCCTCTCGCCAACGGCTCCACCGCCGCCACCTGCACCTTCAACTTCAACCAGAGCTCCAGCCAGGGCCAGCAGGCAGCCAGCGGCGTGGTGGCGACAGACCAGCTGCGGTTTGGGGCGGGGCTCACCGGATTCGACACGTGGGAGCAAGTGGAGCTGCGGGCGCCGCTGGGGGCGGTGGCGTGAGTCCCGCCGTGCCGCCGGCCTGCCTGCCTGCCTGCCTGCCTGCCTACTCACATGCGGCCATTCGCAGCCATGCCAGCGCCAGGGCGAGTGTGGACATGCCCCCGCTGATGCTGGCAGGGAGCTGTCCCTTTGCCCATGGCTGCAGAGCCGTGGCCGACCCCGACGCGTACTGCCGCTCCCCGGCCGCCACCTGCGGCCTCAACACCTGCCCCTCCAGCCTGCTCCTGCAAACCGTCCGCTTTGCGCCCGCCGGCATCGACAGGGGAGTGGGCCTGTGCGTCAGCGCCAGCCAGCCCAACACCTCCTTCCTCACCCTGGGCGGCGCGTGGCCCTCGGGCGATGTCGCCTCCCTCCAGTACGCCACCACGCAGCTGCAGCCCGGCCCCAGCAACAGCACCAACGCGGGCTTCTACGGCTACTGGGTGCGCCTGGATGGTGTCAGCCTTGGCGGCGAACCCAATGCATCATCTGCCACACAGGTACTACACCTCCCGTACCAGTGGTGATGGGGCAGATGGTGTGCCGTGCAGCTTAGCTGATGCAGCGCATGCTGGCAGCCTATCCCCGGCTGTGAGCGGCGCAATACGGGGAACTCGCCCCTGCTGCCTGCCTGCAGGCGGGTGGTGCGCTGGCGCTCCTGGACACCGCCGCGCCCGGGCTGGAGCTGCCGGCGGCGGTGGTGGGCGCGTATGTGGCGGCGGTGACGGCCGCTGTGGCCGCCGACCCTCGCCTGGCGCTCCTTTCGGTGAGTGTTGGGCTGTAAGGCCGAGGGCAAAGCGGGCGTGTGACATGCTGGCGGCATAAGGTTTCACACTACATGCCTATGGCAAAATGGCAGTAGAGGTATCGAGTGTGCACCGTGACTGACGCACTGCCGCTTGCACCACCGCCGCTTGCACCACAGGCCGCCCCGCTGGCGGTCAGCGGGCCGAGCCTCGAGGCCGTCTCTGCCGCCTTCCCAAACATCACGCTGCACATGCCAGGCAACGCCTCTGGTGCGTGGGTGTGGCTGGATCATATTTGCCAGCCGTCTGGCGCCGCACAGTGACAGCTGGCTCATGCCGTGCCCACCCTGATCGTCAAGTGCCCACCCTGCTCACACCTGCTCACAACTGCAGTGGCGATATCTGCCGGGAGCTTCACCACAGCCAGCGGCAGCAGCGGCAATTACACCATCAGCGCTGCAGTGCTGCAGGCGGCCAGGCCGGGGGAGCCTGCCATGCTGGGCCTGCCGCTGTTTACAGGCCGTGCCACCTCGCTGGGCAATGGGGTGGCCGTGTTCTCGCAGCTGCTTGGCGCCGGCGGCTGCAGCGCGCCGGGGCCGCTGGGGCCGACGGACGACCCCGGGACGTCGCCGCCGCCCAGCCGCGGCAGCCGCCTGTCCAGGCCGGCTGGGGCGCTGGCCGCTGGAGCCGCGCTGCTTGCGTGTGCCTGCTTGGCATCTTGACCGCAATTGATGACGCTGAAGTCTGATTTTACACGTGAGGTGATTGGCCAAGAGGCGCGACTGTTCCCTCATCTCTCCAGCTGCTCCTGCCGCTTCACTGCCCCGTCAAGTGCATCCCACCCAGCGCGGCCACAGGCGGGACCGCCGGCTGCTCGACCCGCACCTGCCCCGGCGCCTGCGCCTCGCCCGCGCCCGCCAGCGTGGCGGTCGCAATGTCTGCGGTGGGCGGCAGCGGGATGCCCTCCAGGCCGGCATCCCGCCGGTAGCGGTCGGTACCCGGCAGCAAGCCCACCGCCGGCACCCAGTAGAGGCGCGGCAGCGCGGCGGGGGACGCACCCCCCGCCGCCAAGGGTCCGGTCGCGGCGGCTGGCGCTGCTCCTGCA